AGTAAGACTCAGAACCAGGAAGCTCAAGTGACTGCCAAGAAGGCCCGAGGAATTGGGTGCAACAAGAGCAAATCATTTCTAAAGGAATCGGGATGCCGGGGGTGGGGGAAGGGACAAATCACCAAAAACTAAAATAAAGGACCTGTCTTTGCCCACTTAGCTGTGTGAGGAGGGCACGATTTTCTAAGCACTGCAACTTGGCAGTAGAAGTGTCTAGAAGCCCTGGCAAGGTGGCAGCGTCACTGCCCTGGACCCATGCAGGCCCACCCTGTGGTTCTCACACGATGTTTCAGGGAGGCCCATTCCATGGGGTGTCGGTACCAGGCCCAGCAGGAACAGCACCAACTGGGTAAATTGGTCATTTGAAATGCAGTCTCCGGGCACTTTATTTTGTGGCTTGCTGTGTTGCCGAAAACATCACACCCAACAGCTGGGGAATAAGACTAGTCTAGCTTAAACTATCTTGCCAACTGCTCTCAGCTGGGTTTCCTCCCTTCTCTTACACTGTCCCCCACCTGGAGTCACCTGTAAATTCATTTGCCACCTGAAGCGGAGTAACAAGTTGTCCCTAGTCAAGCCGCTGAGCGCTTTATAATTTTGTGGTGTATTTTTTTGTCAGTAGGTAGCAGAGGCTGGAGTATTTTTTGGTGTAATTCTTGACATTTTCTGACAGGAAACAAATAAAGATAGCTGTGTCTAAGAATCTCGACTTGCCGTTGCCACGTTCCTTACCTGCTTCTCTGCGAGCCTGAAGGGGAAGGTACTGGGTGTGGGTGGGGCAATGGTACCAGAGGGCAGAGTGCTCTGCTAGGCTGGGCCTGGAACTTGGCTGTGGGGGCCCTCTGGCCTTGGGCAAATAAGACCCGAATGATGTCTGGCTGCCTTTCCTGCAGGCCAGCATGCTGCATCCCGGGGGGCATCTGCTGAGGTTCTTCTCAGGATCAGGGCATTTGCTGGGCACAGGCCACACAATGATAAGGTCACCTACAACCCATTCTGGAGTCCTCGGTCAGACTCCTGAGGTGGAACAGACAGCCCTAAGACAAGAGCCAGGCCAGGCGATAGATACTGCTGGCCATCGAGGAGGAAGACAGCCAGTGATAACAGGGGCCTCCTCCATCCTGAGCTCAGGGTGTACTTATCACAGCCTCGGTGGAGTCCCGGGGTGATGCCAATGATTCCTGGAAAGGTTGGAAGTTTGAGTCTGCCCAAAGAACCTCACAAGAAAGACTGGGAGATCTACTTCTGCAGAGTCAGTCACTGGGAATTCTGTGGAGCACAGGTCTATGCCGACCCTCCGGGGATCAATCGCCATGTGTTGAGATGGGCTTGGGGGCAGTTGGTGAGTGGGGCTGCAAGCTTGGAAAACCCAATGGATGAAGGAATGAATGAATGAATGAATGCGTGCATGGAAAGCAGTTGCTGTTGAAGCAGCTCTGACTTACAGTGCCTCCGCCTGTGTCAGCGTAGAACTTCCCGGGCTGAGACCGTTGGTCCCACTTGACAGAGGAGAAGACGGAGGCTCAGAGAAGTGAAGGGACTTCCCTGGGGCTGTGGTGGAGGCGCTGGTATTGGAACCCATTTGTCTGACTTCTTTACTCCCCAGAAACCTGCCTCTGCTCTGTGGAGATCCTGGTGAACATCGATGAATTGAGCTCATGCCTCAGAGCATCAAGCCCCTGTGGTCAGAAAAGTGAGCCTTCTGATTCTCCGGCAGGCCTCAGTATCAGCCACGTACATGCCCTTTAACCTTCCCAGACTCATTGCTGCCAAGTTACTTCCAACTCACAGCGTTCCTGCAGGAGACCGAACTTTCTGGTGGGGTTCCCAAAGCTGTCCATCCTTACAGAATCCAACTTCCATGTCTTTGTTCCACAGAACACCTGGCTGGTCCAAACTACCTTCCTTTCTGTTCGCAGCTGAGCACTTTACCCACCGCACCACCACGGGTCTGACCCGCCCCTTGCTACATGGTATATCTGAATAGTTCGTATCACCAGCACTGACATCAGGTCATCATCAGCACCAGCACCATGCTCATTTTAGAATGTAGAAAGGAAGATGCGGATCAGTGCGGCCACTTGCCCGGGTCACATGGCTGGCAGGTGGCACCAGCAGGCATCCATGGGGCCAGGCGGCAGGGACCTCCGCTCCGCATTACCCTTTGCTGGGTGCCCTGTGTGCTCACAGACCTTATTAGATAGACTGAGATGGCTGGCTGTGGGAGGAAGCGTTTTCAGGCTAGGTAGAGCTAGGGGCTGAGGCTCCCAGCTGAGTGCTCCCTCGAGCTGTGGCAGAGCAGCATGGTGGAAAGGGAAGGGGCCGTGGTTGCCTCATGGTTCCACCACATTGGAGCCTCAGGCTGCTGAGGGCACAAGGTGAATGCTGAGCCCTGGGCACCCATGCCCACACCCATCAAGCCCTGGTAGTCCAGCTTCTCCAGAAGGTAGTGAGCTGGGGAGGGCAGGGCAATGATTTAGGCTGGCATCCCACTCCGAAAGACCCGCAGGCTCGTACTGCCAACATGTGGATCCTTAATTTTCTTTTCAGCGACACCCAGTCCACGATGGGAGGCCTGGTGGACAAATGTTCAGGTGTTCTGTCCCATGCTGTTGGCTCACAAAATACACCAAAGCTGTCTCTTTTGGGGACCAGGTGGGCAAGTGGGAATCAGGGAGAGGGGAAGGGAGGGGAGAAGGTTCAAAGGTATTCCTCTGGGTAGACGGGGCCCTGGGCTACACAAGTCCCAATCCAGGTGGCTCCGGGCTGGCTTTCTTTCTGAAGGCCCTGGGGCAGAGGCCGGCACCCTGCGGCTCGCCAGCCCTACGTGGCTCTTTTGGTGAGTCCAATGTCGCTCTGAAGCATAACGGGAAAACACTCCAAGGGTATTATTCAGATAGCGGTGATCTCAATTGTTTGTAAAGCTGCACTTAGGGTTCTTGGATACCTTTTAAATGGCTGTGAAGAAAAAGATCGGCTCTTCCTTCTCAGAAGTGTGCCGGCCCCTGCCCTAGAGGAAGTCCTCCCTCTCCTCTTCCAGCTTCTGGTGGTTCCTGGCCGGCCTTAGCTTTTCGGGTCTGGAAGATGCCTCCCTCCGTCGTCTGCCTCTGTTGCCACTGTGCGTCTCCCTGGGTCTCTTCTTTTTAAAATAAGGCCTCGCTCGCATTGATGGGGACCCACCCTCCTTCCGTGTGACTGGTAGCCTCTTCACAGTCCCCGCTTCTGGCGGTTAGGGCTTCAGTGTGTCTTAACTGGGGACGCAGGTGCTACCACAACACGGGGGTGGTCACAGAGCCCTCCGGAGACTCGGGAGGTCGGTATAGAAATACCAGTTTTCACACCGTTTGAATCTCCTCACCAACACTGCGGCCGTCTCTCCCGAGAGGCTCCCTGTCCGTGGGGTGGGCTGCATGGAGCTGTGCAGGAGGCGGGAAGGGCAGAGGGCCCAGCCTGAGAGACGCATCCTGGGGTAGGACGGGGGAGTCATGGCAGCCACGGGCTCTTGGAGAAACTGGCCTTCGAGCGGGGCCTGGGGGGGCAGGTTGTCTCTAGCTGAGCAGAATCCTGGAGAGCGAGGACCAGCTACCACACGGCCTTCTCTGTGAGCAAGGGGGAGAGCCTCTTCCCAGGGCTGTCTGGCCGGACTCCACGCAGGCTCCTGGCATGTCTTTCCTGGACTCGACGGCCGAACAACTCGGGGAAGCTGCCCTCGCTCTGCTTACACCCAGGCCGCAGGCAGGGGCCGGGAGCGAACAGACATTGCCCGGACTCTGAGGAGAAGCAGGGTCTCCATCGGTCAGAACACATTAAAGGAGCCACACTTACTTTTCTGGAAAGTGGAAAGACCACCCGATGGGTCTGCTATTGATCAGTCTATCCTTCCCCCACCTCCACAAGACACTCTGATCCCATCGTTGAGCCATGCAGGAACAGCAATACATCCTCAGTGATTTTCCCCAGCAACACACACGCCACCTTTGTAGGACACAAAACAAAAAACAGCAAAAAGCATGTGCCTGAACAACGGAGAGGTGGGGGTGAAGAGAAGTTTGGTTTCCATGGCAACGTCAATGCTGTTTCCCATCGATCAGACTCGGCTTGGCATGGCAGAACCAAGCCTAGGTTCATCTTAC